AAAGAGAGAGCATGGAGCATTCTCACTCTACATTTTTCTCGTCCTTCCATCTCAAGGAGCTTTTACAAGTTCTGTGATCATGAAATCTACTGATGAAAGCTCTAGCCATTTTCGAACATGAGTGGGTTACTGAAAGGCAAGGTGTGAGCTCACGGTGGATGTCTTATTCTGGGGAATAATGGATGAGGCTCCTGGCTGGACGGCAGGGTTGAGAGACCCTTACATAGAAGAGCTCAGCAGACTTTCACCCCACCTCTTTGGGCAAATACCCAGGACCACCATGTTGCTACACACTTGGGGCCACTTGGGACTACTTGTAACTCAGCCCAAGGGCCACCCCTTGGCCAGGAATTCCTCAAGCTCTTGTTTGTAACCAAGGCATTGTACTTGGCATTCAAAGCCTTCCGGGACTGGCCACAACTCTGTTCTATAAGCTTGCTTGCTTCCATGCCCTCCCTGCACCCTGTGCTCCAAGCCCATTAAATGACTCCCTTTTCTCACACTCCCCCACTCTGCCATTGCTCACACCCGTTGTTTTTTAGAATGCCCACTCTTTTCTAACTCCGCATTCTTTCAGGGTTAACGTGTCTGTTACCTCCCCATAAAGCCATGCCCCATCTCTCTCCAGCTCAATGTTACCTCTTCCTCTTCAGAACTCTATCCCTCTCTCATGAAAATCTCTTACTCCCTTTGAGTAGCTATTTATGTTCATGTTTCTAGAACATAAGTTTCTTGAGGGTAGGGTCCATGTGAAATTTATCTGCCCCGTGGGTGACATCCTACAGATAGCAGGTCACTGTTTATTGGGTAAATGAATGAACATGGTGCTGATCAAAAGCCGTTGAGATGAGCCCTCTTGGGGCAATGTTTGTCAAAGTGAGTTCCAAGGACCATTTCCTTGGGGACAGGAGGTTGTTGAGAAATGCAGATTCACAGACTGCACTAAGACCTACTGAACCAGGCTCTGCGGGAGGTGATGTCTGGGAATCTGATCTTTAAATGAGATCTTTGGGAATTCTGATCTTTGAGAGCCTCCTGAGGTTTGCAGGGTATGTTCAGCCTGGTTGGGGTTAGGTTCTCTAAAACAAGGATCTAGAGAGAGACAGGACTGGGGGGCTAAAGAAATTCTGTTCCACTGATGTGCCAGAGAGGGCTTTTGTATCAGCTTTAAAGCTGGGAAGGACGAACTGCAGTGACTTTTGGTTAAGATCTGTGGGAGCCCAGCATCCAATGCAGGGAATCCTTCTAAGTCAGGGAGAAAAATATATCCTGGGCAGACAGTTCAATCTGTGTGTGCCTGTAAACCAAAGTGTCGTCAAGGTTTGGCTCCAGTTTAGGAGAACCAGGTTAGAAAACTCAAAGGTCACTGGTTTAATGAACAGAATTGGGTGTTTACTTATTAGTGTAAAAAAAAAAAAATTTTTTTTTTAAATGAGTAAAGCAACTGAGGGAAATCAGCCAGACTTTAGACCTCAGGCTAGAAAAGCAGCTCATTTGGGATGCAAAAGAAAACACAAAGCATTCAATGGAACATTTTAAATGCTTTTAAAATTTAAATAGGAAATGGGAAATGGGTTTCCGTGGACTTTAGTTACTATGGCCAATGGGTAACTAAGAAAGTACTCTGCTCGTCCCTACTGATTTTTCCAGGTGATTTTAACCAAGTACAAAAGCCATCGAGAGAGAGAGAGAAGAAAAAAAAAAAAAATGTAGCCAGCCTAGCAACATAGGGAGAAAAGCAAATAAAAAGAAAGGCACTTCACCCTTTACATAAAAAGCTTTTTCCCGAAGAAAAGTAGTGTGGTGGTCGGGGTTGTCAGAAAAGGCAAAAAGGCACAAGTACTTTAAAAACGATGGCATAATGGGGCTGCTGCTAATATTTAGAAAGACAGAGAATTATGGGAGTTGAGCTGCAGAGAAAATGGCTCAAGGTTCTATTTTCAGCTTTCCAACAGGTCAGAGGTAGCTAATGAGGGCTGTCGGCAGGGCGGCTGTCACGATTCTGGCTGAACTGGCTGTATGAGCTTCCTGTACTAAAAGCAGAGCCCAGCGGAGCCTTCTCAGAGTGGAAGCAGCAGGTAGAGTGGCCTCTGGGACCCGTTTTTCTAAATACTGCATTCTTCTTTTTCCTTTTAATTTTCAACTTGATATCCACTAGGACGAAATTTACCTGGTTGGGTCGTTCAGTCAGAAGTTACTGAGTTTCCATTTGGCCAAAGGCTGTGTATCTACCAGCCATGCAAGAACCCCCTGTTACCTCTGAGCGCTCAGAAGACCACTGCAGGGGCCCCAGGAGTCCTTTCAATTCTTCCTTCTGTATGGTGGGGTCGACAGGAAGACTTGTTGGGGCTGTCCTAAGAGTTGCACTTGAACTGGAATGTCTAAATCTGTTGTTTGCTTGAGGCCAAATTCTGGCACTGTGTGTGTATGTGTGTGTGTGTGTGTGTGTGCACGCGCGCGTGTGTTCTCTGGGGTATGTGGTATTTATTTTCTCTCCCTCTCACATCCTGGGCCAATTTGCCTTATCCAGGTTAATTGCACATCTTTGTTATTATTCTCGAAATTAGGCCATCCTGGCCATCAGACAGAGCCACCTCAGCTCTGAGTAATCATCTGAACGTTTTGCTCAGGGGCACAGAGGCAGACATATTCAGACGCATCTTCCTTCTCAGGCTTTCCAGCTGTACTTGCTTGTAGGATAGACAAATTCAGGTTTTTCCTGCTGTCTTAATTATGCCACTCTCATCTTGAAAAAGCAAGCAGTAGAGAGTACAACATGTACCGTACGTGGCTAGCAAGAATACCGGATCACCCTTGTTCCTGGTGGGGGTGGGTGCCTGATGCTTCGTGTAGCTGAGAGGGCCCTATTTGATGTCCCCTATCTAACAGTGAACTCAGCAACCATTGCTCAACAAACAGCCTCACTGCGTGGGCTCACTGTTGCAGAGTCATGGCCCCCAGGATGGAGAGTGAGACTAAAGTGGATGGGTGGGGAGATGGGATCAGGCCCCGCTGTCACCTAGTTGCTGTGACAATACCCAGCTCATGGGATTGCAGCTGAAGCAGGTACTTAGATCGGGCTCCTCTGGGGAGGATTAAATCCAGTTCTTGTTTCTGAATGTGTGAGCCCGGCATCGTAACTTTGACTAATGAGTGTTAAAAGAGAAATCGGAGTCCTGGATGATCACCTATGAAGAGCTCGTCAGGGAAAAACAAATTACACAGTACCAGTGCTGACTTTACCAGTCATTTAGTCTCACCCACGTCCCTGGGGCTTGTGAATTTATGACAAGCTGCATTAATGTCTATCAATGACTTTGGAAAGTGGAGGGCACCATGAATGCCCTAACACTCACTCCTCCTTCCATCTCCGAGCGCTGGTCAATGTCTTGGCATTACTCTTCCGCACTTACTTACTCTTGGTCTCAAACTTGTGCAGTCTGTTCTTCTCTATTTACTTATGGTATGGTTTTGGGATCAGGATATTAGCTACAGAGATTTCGATTCTTAAAAATAATTTGCCAATGTAACATCCCGTAGATTACTTCCTGGTTGGATGGATTAAGCTCTTCTCTGCCTTAATCCAGGGGGTGATCATAGCATCACTAATGGTAGGCAGCCAAGTGTTACATGTCCCCTGAGGTGGTACAATATGAAGTATGCTACAGCTCCTCTGATGGGTTCTAGCTGGGAAGTGTTTGTGTCTAATCCTTTGGGTCTAATTTCCAGTTTACAGGGAATCTGGGGGTGGGGGAACAAGCTTAATGACAGGTAGCCTAAGAAAGCAACAAAGCAAATAAATCCAGAGGCTAGGACTTCAGCTGGAGAACTGGCTGGCTGTCTTCAAGGACTCAGTGATGTGTAACAAGAGATGAGTGTCCTAGATTAAAAGAAAATTAAAGAATATAATAATCTGATATAATGCTTGGTCCTGAACTGGATGCTGGGTTAGCTAAACTAGCAGCGACACACATTTTGGGTACAATGAGGGTGGGGGTTTGAAAGGTATATAGATTAGAAGAAAATTTATTAATATATGATATATATGTGATACATATATGTACATAGAAGGAAACTGTGGAAGGATACACACATAGGTGGTAACTGTGGTAACCCTGGAGAAGAATGTGATGTTCTGACTTTCCCTTTTTTCCTTATTGACATTTTCCATTTTTCCAGCTTTGCGATATTATTGACACTCAACACAGTCTAAGTTTAAGATGTACAATGTGATGATTAGCTACACAGGTATGTTGAAAAATGATCTGATTTTTCATTTTTATTTATTTATTTATTTTCTATCAAATTTTTTAATAGTGAAAAGATACTGCTTTTGTAATCACAGAAGTCTGTTCAAACCAACCAACCAACCAGTCAGCCAAGAAATGCATCTCTGTGTAGCAATAACGAAAGGGGACGGGGAAGCCGGGTCCCACAAGCTGCTAGTGGGCTAACACAAAGGATGTGCGAACAACATCCTCCCTGCCAGCTGTCAGTTATCAGGGCGTCCCCAGCAGAGATCGTAATTTTACAGTCACGTAGACCCACCCAGGCATAGGAGAACAACTTACAATTTGTTGCCACGTAATGGGATGTGAGAGTGACTTCCCACCAACGATGATTTTTGACGGATGGGGACTGCTGGGATGGAGGCTCAGGGCCTGAGCGCCATCGGAAGGGCCGGGTAGTGTCTCTCTATGCATGCCTTGTTCTAGGTAGGAAGCATCCCTTCAACACAGGCTCCCGGGAGCTTTGCACACTGCCTGGTTAATTCCTCAGGGCCAGATTTTATCAGTGACATTTCCCCTCAGTTGAAGCTTTTCCTGAGAGGAGTGTTCTGTCAGAGGCAGATGGATGGCACGCAGTTTTCCACCCAAACACTGAATGATATCTTATGCTGAAATGACACCCAGAAGGTTCTCTGCTGTAACCAATGAGTCCTTTCTCTCAGGCAGGTTGGCAATACTGAATGACACCTTCTGAATATTCAAATGAAGGGATGATGGAAATAGCTTCTCTAATCCTTTTCTGATGGTAACTATAGCACGAGGGAAAACAAAACCCAGAACGAGGTGAAGAGGAATCAGAGGGTCACGTCTCGGAAAAACTGGGGGGAAAATCTACTCTTAAAATGATACTTTAAAAAATACTCTCGTGCAATAAATTAACCTTAAAAAAAGAGGGAAAAGAGAAAGAATACCATATAATATCACTTATACATGGAACCTAAAAAAAGGACACAAATGAACTTATTTACAAAACAGAAACAGACTGACAGGCATAGAAAACAAACTTATGATTACCAGTGTGGAAAGGGGGTGGGAAAGGATAAAAGGGGAGTTCGAGATTTGCAGATATTATTATATGTAAAATAGATAAACAACAAATTTCTATTGTATAGCACGGGGAACTACATTCAATATCTTGTAGTAACCTATAATGAAAAAGAATATGAAAAAGAATACATGTATGTATATGTATGACTGAAACATTATGCTGTGCACCAGAAATTGACACAATATTGTAACTGTCTAGATGTCAATAAAAAAGGAAGAAAGAAAGAAAAAAACAGGGAAGAGATGGCTCACAGCACAATGACTTCAGCCGTGATTTGCAGGGTCACATCCGCCCTGCGGGAGGGAGGTAGAAAGGCCCAGCGTACACTCCATTCCTTAGAGAAATCAGTTACATTCAAATCAGATCATCTGGCCTGTCTAGCTGAGCCCCAGGACCTAGAGGGACCGAGTTGGCTAGTCTGCTTCCAAATGCATGGTATATGGCCATTATGTGCAGATTATGATTTAGGGCGAGACTGTTTTTTCTTACAGAACAGCTCTGCTTGTGAAAGGCTCTTTGCTTGTGTGCATGGCTGACTTATTCAGACTCCAGATGTGCAATTTAAATTAGTTAGTGAAAAAGACCTAAATGCACAAAAGTAAAACTGTGGAGGGAGAAAATTAATGTTTACCTCTTGTAAGTTTGTTCAGCATCATTCTCTTGACCCTCTTTTGTCTCTTGATCACATTGACACTCAGGAGTGTCCATCTCAGCACAGTGATACCACTTAACACCGTCCAACTGCTTCTCACCACTGTGCCAAAATATTACGATGTCAAACGTATTAGCTTGAATCATATGATTTTTGTAGGTCAAATATGGCCAAATGGCAGCATTTTCATATAATTCAATCTAATAATTGGCCTTTTCCCTTAGAGGAGCTAAGACGTGAGTTGGGAGACAGAAGAGTAACGTATCAAAAGGTGCAAAATAATTGAGAACTGGAATTAAGAAACCTTTGTTTTGAAATCAATAATACCCACATTAGTAACACCTTAAAGTTTTTCCTGACTCCTTCTGTGAAGGTGGATCTTTTCCACTAGATGAATCATCTGGCCGAATATTTAAGCCACAAAGGAAATCAACCTAATGACTGTATGCAACTCAGTTTTACCCCTAGATATTCTTATCTGCCTTCACCACCCACCTTATTCCCAAAAGCTCACTCTGGAGGTTTTCCACATACATGTCCACCCTCACACAACCAGGATTTATGCTCATGGTAGATATTTGGCAGGACACGGTGAAGCTCTGAAGGCAAGTCCCAAAGCAGAGCTAATGTTTGAGCTGCTGTAGTATCTCTGGCACGAATATGAAGCTTCCCAAAGTGACTGCTCACTCAGACGTGTAAGCGTTGATTGTGTTTCTTATAAAATCAGACCCATTACTTGATAGTCACACCTTCTGAGACAGGCTCGCCATCTCCAGAGTCCCAGGAGAGGCATTTTGCTCCTTCTGCCTGAATTTTATTTAATCTCATATTCCAGTGGAGTGGCGGATTCTTTTTCAAATTCTAGGGAGACTCAACCCTGGATCATCTGTTAAGGTTTTAAAATTTTGGTGGAGGGAGTGGGTAGGGTAGTGGTAGAGCTTAGCATGCACAAGATCCTGGTTCAATCCCTAGTACCTCCATTAAAAATAAATAAATAAATAAACCTACCCACCACCCATCCTTAAAAAAAAAAAAAAGGGATCATAGTGCCAATGTATGCATAGCCCTAAATTTGATAACTCAATGGAATAAGAAAAAGTCCCATTAAAAATAAATAATAAATAAATAAATAAATAAAATAAAAATCGTGGTGGGGGGTGTTTAAGACCATAGAAATCACGATGCTTCTCAGTTTTTGTCCTAGCCACTGCTGAATTTCTATTACAGACCCAGTGAAACTGCTGGAATCACACAGCATGATACTGGGCTGGTAATTTCTCTTTTTGCAAGTGATTTTTCTATCTGCAGGGTAAAGGACCATCATGACTTTCCTGACACAGTTAAATGAAAGATCAAAATTAGTCCAAACTGTTCTGAAAGTCAGATGACAGAAGTTCAGGTCTCAGTCCTGAACCTACTTTCTGTGTTAGCTTAGGCAAGTTAATTAACTTCTGGCAACATTAGTTTCTTCCTTGGGAAAGAAAGGACGTTAAAGTAAATAATCTCCCAGTTACCCTCCAACTCTAAAACAATACAAGTCTACGTACAACCTTGGCTTTTTAAGATACTCCATAATCCTTAAACATTCACTTTTGTAGAGAGTAAAAAAGAAGATAGCTCAGAAACAGGTAGGTTAGTAGGAAAATCCAGGTTTTAAAATGTTTATGGTAACTGAGTCAAACAGAAGTAATTTAATTTTTAAAAAAGATACTTTCATCTGTTTAAGAAATTATTGTATAAGAGGGCTCTGGCGATTCTGGAGGGTGGCTCCCAATGTTACTGAGTCCAAACTCACTCTGCTCGCTGCACTACAGGCCAATAAATCAGGAGCCGAGGCATTGGGGCAAGGAATGGGAACTTTATTCGGAAAGCTGGCAGACCAAGAGGATGGCAGACTAATGTCTTTGAGGACCATCCTCCTCCAGTCAGAATACAGGCTCCTTTTATACAAAAAAGGGGAGAGGGTGTGGTTGGTTGTTGCAAACTTCTTGCTGTGGGAATTCTTTGTTCCTGCAGCTGTCCACCTGGGCCAGCTCCTGGTGCTCCTGCAAAAACTCCAACAAAACAAATGTTATTCTCTATTCTGCAACTTGTTATCTTTATGTGTGTGCAGAGCTAGCAGAGACTAAGCCTAGGAAACAGGGCACAGGGTTAAAGCCAAAGGAACAGATCTAATATGGAGTCAGATTTGTTCTTTTCTATTACACAACACCTGAAGTTTCTCAATTCTTTTATACATTTGAAAATTGGGATTCATATAAACAGAAGTAGTCATATGTGTTGGAGTAAGTTTTGTAGGTGAAGCTCAATGAGGTGCCCGTCGGGAATAAGAGCCGAGCATTTGGGCAGAAGAATGGCATTTGCAGAATATTTGGCATGAACTTAGGTTTAGGGCTGATGTTAACTGGAATATTTCAGTTTGTCATCTTGGGTGTCAGACACCAATCAGCGCTCTGGCCTGATTTGCTCCAGCATGAAGTTTGGACTCAAGCGTCCTTGCTGGTGACATCCTGCCACCTTGTGGCCAGCTGTGGACTTCAGCATTGTGCAGTGTGCCTTGTCCCCTAAGTGTGCCAAGGCAGAGGATCTTTCCAGCTTTCCAGCTTTCCAGCTTTCGGGATTCCAAGCACAATCCTGTGGGCTCTGTTCATTGCCTACAGGCACTTCTATCGGTCATCAAATGTTTGTGTTGCATTCCCTCCGTAAAGGAGAGTCAGTAATCCTTTCATTCCATAAGCTCACATAAGCTCACATAGCTGATGGGATGGCAGAAATAAAGAGAGGTTTAAGTGGTGTAAATGTTAATCTGATCTTGGTTCTGCTCCTAAATTCTTGCTTCAGGTAAGCTCCAGATCTGCAGTTGAGAGGCCACGTTCTTCCTGGTTCTGCAGATTAAACTGCTCATCCTTGGGAAGACCAACTCACCCCTCCATCCTTACCTAACCGTTACAAGGCTTTACCAGGGTCACCGCATGTCTGTTACCGCATACCACGGCACTCGTCTGTGGTAAGTACTATTTTTAATCCTCATTTTATAGATTTACTGAGATTTGGAGACATTAAGTAACTTGTCCAAGGTCGCTCATACAAACCTCAGTTACAGGAATCCCCACTGTGAACCCCTCTGCCTTGTGTCTGTGAAATGAAGTAAAAACACCTCCTTTACTGCACACAAAGCAGATGTAAGATCAAAGGAGATGATAATACAAATGAAGCCTTTTTTAAATGAGAAAGACCTACCCAGATGTTGGTCGGCATTTCAAAAAATAGTCGTTATTACTATTATTATGCAAGATGTTGAGATTGTTGCTAATGGCAGCCCCAAATTGTCAATTTCCTAAATGGAAGAGAAGAGTGACTTCTTGAAGAGAAATATCCAGACTGATTAAAAAGTTATTTTCAGTTGCTATGAATGGTGTTCTGTAATCCCCTCCCTCTCCTGTTTGCTGCGCAGTTTCAAATGAAGCTGATCCTAATTAGAGATTTCATGTGTGAGAAACGAATTTGCTTGTGAATTCAATATATAATAATGGAAAGCTGGCTATAGACCACTGGGGGCTAACAACTAGACCTGTGTGGTAAAGTGTTGAGATTTGTGTCTGTAGCCGTCTGGACGAATTGGACAGTTAATTTGAATTAAAGGGGGAGAAAACAGATGTTCCACTGTCCTCTCTGACGGATAAAGAGGAATTCTGTGTTCTGTTTCTGTGGGACTTGAGTTACTTGGAATGACTGCGGATATACATTCACCTCTCTGTTTTACCAATTTAAGTGCAGTATTTGCATCATGAAAACTAGTGATGCTCAGGGTGAAAACCACCGAACGAAAGACAGCAAGCAGATCATTCAAGTCTCAAATCCAGCATTGGGTGATAGGATAAGAAGGCGTACCTTAACGAAATCTAGTGATAAAGTATAAGGGTACCACATTGGACGTGAAGTACATGACCATCTAATTTAGATTAGTGCGTATGTAACACTCACTTCCCACACACTGCTCTCACAAGTCATTCCTTCGACAGGATAAAGCCAGAAGGAAACCTGGTTAGACCTGCAGGTCTTTGGAGGGCAAGATCCTGCTTGAAATGGTGTAGTATCAATGGAGCAGGCATGAGACTCCATCAGTAAGCATCTCACTAGAAATTTTGAAAGTGTATCCCTCTGGCTTTGGTGGTGCCTGCCCTGTTGCTCCTAGCAAAAGAATGTTGTCTTGGAAACCATTTTGGTTTCTTTTATGAGTTATAAATTGCTGACATTCGCCACTTTGTATTCACAGTTGGGACACATGACCCATAAGTTAAATATTTACATTTTTGATCCCTGTGGTTTTTTTTTTTTTTGGTAAATGAGTGGTTTGAAATAATCTGTAAAATAAAAATAAACTGGAGGGTGTATTAAGGAGAAAATAAGTCATAAAAAGAAAGGTTGGGTGTGTGGAAGGGCGGATATATTAATTCTGCCCATTTCTCATTGATGGGGTAATGCTGGCGGTAGACAACTTGGATATGGGTTGAGTGTATAAGAAGTTGGCTTTTAAACCACCTTCTTACCCTCCCACCTGTTACCTTTCTGAGTTCTGCCTTGCTAGTGTTTGTGAGGGATGGGGAAGAGAGCGTTCAATTCAGCATACTACATAAATTGGTAGACAGGGCAATTTCAAATCATCTGCACTTGGATTCTTCTGCCCTGTATTGAAGAACATCACAAAACAATCGTTTCTACTGTAAGGAAATTGTGGAATTGTTATTATATTATATTATATTATAATATATTGTATATATTACATACAAGATGGATGTACTCTTTATGGAGATTCTCAGGATAAATTAATTTGTTCTTAGCATCAGGAACAGTTGCGTTTCTCCTGAGCAAATAAAAAAATAAACCTTAGGACACTGAGAATTGTGTCCTTTAAAGTCTTACTGTCACACTGACCACTAGAAAGCTCAAAGCTAAAGTTGCAACTTATTCATCGCAACTATATAAGTATGTGGTGTATATTTGTGTGCTGAGTTTATTTCTGGCTTTATTGTGTGTTTTTATGTTTTTTTCTCATTTACAGTAGTAGTAAGAATTAGGTTTGGCTGTGTGGAATCAAAACCCCCAAATACTAGTGGCTTAAACAAGATAGAAATTTCATTTTTTGGGGGGGGGGGTAAAATTCTGGGTAGGTAGTCCAAATTTGGAATGGCATCTCCACGATCATTGGGTACCCAAACTTCCAGTGCGTTGCTCTGCCATCCTCAACACACAGCTTCCAGCTCACGGTCCAGGATGGCTGCTCTTGCCATCAAGTCTGCAGCCAGTCAGCAGGAAGGGACCACCAATCCTCCCTTCTAAGGATACTTCCTAGAAATTGCACATACAGCTTCCATTTACATCCCACTGACCAGACCTTAGACATATGGGTGCACCTAGCTGTAAGGACAGCTGGGGAGCGGGGGTAGCCATGTATCTTATCTAAAAATGAGGAATCTTAATGCTGTAGAGGAAGGGGAGATGAGCTGTTGGGAAGCAAGTAGAAGGCTGTGGCAATTTAGATTATTTGATGCATCTTTGTGAACTATTTTAAATTCTATTCACACTGGGACAGGGGTGCTTATAAGTAATGAAGAAGTGAGTAAGTTTACATTCCTTAGAAGAAGGATGGATCTCGTTACTTCTTCTGTTTAACATGAGTCAGAATCTCAGAACGGGCTCTTCAATGCCATGGGGTTCTGAAACAGTTTCTGTAACCCCACTTTGGGATGTTCAGATCACTAAGGGTCTGCAAAGGTAGGGCTGTTGGGAGTGAGCTATTGTGGTTAATCTCTGAAAGCCCCTCGAGCAATATACGTTCACTACTCAGAGATGGTTCTAGAAGTCTTTGATAAAAAGGAGAAAATCATTATTATTCAACGTAATTATCCCTCAGTATCCGCAGAGGCTGATTCCAGGACCCCCAGCCGATTCCCAGAACTGCGGATGCTTGAGGCCCTTATGTAAATGGAACAGTGCTGCTGTACCCGTGGGTTCTGCACCCTCAGTCAGCCGCCCGCGACCAGGATCGGCTGAGTCTGGGGATGCGGGATCTGAGCATACGGAGGGCGGAGTGCACATGCGGTTTTTTGGTAGACAAATATCTTGTGAAGAGTTTGGCTCTTGGGGTGTCCTGGTATTGTAAGAACATGACCAAAAGGATCTGGAATAGTGAAGTGTTTTGGAACTGGTGGCTGGAATGGCTGTTTTGTCATGAGACTTTAAAGTCATGGCCACACTAGAGCAGTGGTTTCCAGACTTCAGTGTGCCCAGGACTTTAGGGCCATCATTAAAACTACTGCTACCTGGCGCCCACCTTCAGAGATGCTCATTTGTTAGCTTGGGGGCAGAATTTGACAGGTACTGGACTAACGGATATTGATTGCCCAACGTTAACGATTTCTAAATGGAGTTAATTAAACTTTCCTTTGAAATAGAGCATGAACAAGTCATTGGAAAACACAGGATATGCTTTAAATAGTTTATTTTCCCAAGTTTCTGAGGGGTCCAGCATTTCTCCTCCCCATGACAATCTCTTTTGTGAAGCATGACTCTCAGACCAGTTGAGCACAGTTGAATTCCTGCCTAAACTTAGTTAATGACTTGATGAGGGCTTTTAGCACTCTCTGCAGCTCTGGGCACCTGACATGCCAGGCATCAGTGAGCATGGAGAAGGCGTCCTTAGGTTCCTCCTCACCATGGAAACCAGTGCACACTGATCTGTGTCCGTCAGTTTTCAGGCTGGTGACTGGTCACCTGTGTCGTAGCAACAGGAGAAGGCTGCAGTTGATCTCGGCATTTCACGTGCTCTGGAAACAGGGTTTCAATCCCAGGCCCTGGCTTCTTCCTCTGTGTAGATTCCTGGTGAGATGTTGTTTGGACTCTGGGAGTTGAGGGGACCTGAGAGCAACAGAGTGGGAGAGAAATTCTGGACCATGAACAATATTGGTGGCTGATGTATGCAAATTGGAGGTGTTAGCTGAACCAGTAAAAAAAAAAAAAAGGTATGAATTTTAGGGGAGGGGAGGGAATCCCATTCATTTTTTAAATCGAAATACAGTTGGTTTACAATGCTGCGTTAACTTCTGGTGTGCAGCACAGCGACTCAGCCACACACACACATGCATATATGTTCCTTTTCATACTCCTTTACATTCCGGGCTACCACCAGGTGTTGAATATAGCTCCCTGTGCTATACAGTAGGACCCTGCTGTTCACCTATTTTACATACAGTAGTTAGTATCTGCAAATCCTGAACTCCTAGTTTATCCCTCCATCCCCCATCTCCCCTCTGGTAACCACAAGTTTGCTCGCTATGTCTGTGAGCATATATGGATTTGCAAAACTCCAAAAGTTATAAAGTACTGCACTGTGTTGGGCTGGTAAGCGTATAAATCAGTCAGATAGCTATGGAAGGCAATTTGTCAATATCTTTCAAAATTACAAATGTACATGACCTAAGTTTCAGCAATTCCCTTTCTAGAAATTTCTCCTACAAGTATACTCTCACATACGTGAAGTGACACATATAGAGGCTATTCACTGCAGTGTTTTGGGAGTGCAAAATATGGACTGCACCATAAATAGAAAATGACTGAATAAATTACAGTAAATCCATATGATATGTGCAAAAGAATGAAGCTTTTATGTAGTGCTCTAGAAGGAGTCCAAAAGTGTATCATTAAGTGAGCAAGAGTGAGGAGCAGAACAGATGTATGGCATGCTGCCATTTGTCAACCACGAGTACAGGAAGTTGACTCCCTCGCCTGCAAAGGAGAACTAATGTCTGCTCTTCTGGGCAACCTGAGGAGATAGGACACACAATTCTGGATCCTACTTTTGCTGCTGAAGTTGCTAGCCCTCCCCTAACTGGGTGAACAGACCCAGACCCTCAAGGACCTGTGCAGTGCTCACCAGTCCCCTGCCGTCCGCATGCCCGGTATCCAGTGTTACTGGCAGGAACCATACTTTTTGATTCGCAGTGAACT